GAAGGTGGTACCATGGTCTGGGTTTGGATCGTATCTAAGACGGTAGGAGGTGGTACCATGGTCTGAGTTTGGATCGTCTCCTCTGGGACGGTAGGAGGTGGTACCATGGTCTGAGTTTGGATCGTCTCTTCTGATGCAGAAAAGTCCAGCAGGGATTTTAAAGCAGCATCTGCTGCATTTAGGTCTACATCTTCTCCAAGGATGTTAATGATGGGAAACCACCCTCTGAAGGTCTGGATGAGGAAGAGGAGTGGGTAGTCCGTCCTCAGAAGATACAGGTGGAAACCTAAAGATGGATCTGCAGGGAGAGCAGGACAAAAAGGTTTCTGGATCTTCATGGATTGGGATCTTCAACACCCAGATCATTCACTCGTCTTGGTTTGATCTTCTCACAGAGGACTGAGGAACAAGTGAATAGTTTCTCACTGCAGGACTTCGGATCAGTTCATCCTGAGCAGAATCAACAGAGCTTTTATTGTTTCAACTGTTCAGTCCCCTGGATGCTGGGCTCTTATTTTGATAGTTTCCAGGAAGAGTTGATGATTAATGTTTTATTCTGAAGATTCTTCAATTTAAACGGTTCTTTATTCAAATCTCTTGTGTTTATCGCCACCTAGTGGCCACAGAGCAACTAGAACATTTAATTCAACTCTTCAACACTTCATTATTCCAGAAGGAAACTACAGTAAATGTTGAAGCTGAAGCAGGAAGGATCTTCTGCAGCATCTGGATCCTCTGACTGACGACCCTCTGCTGGTGTTTAACTGATGAAGATGAGGCTCAGTGTCATCTATCATCTTCCGCCTTCTCTGGGAAACCATCTCCAGAGGTTCTAGAGGAGTTCCTAGAAGAGAGACGTTGTTCTGTCAGACCAGCATACCCAGTCAGACCAGCATACCCAGTCAGACCAGCATACCCATAGGCAATACCCGTTTATTCCTTTAGTTTATCCCTTTGGTTTAGTATAAAAAATAGACTTTAAACTACCTCAGCAGGCGTGTTTCCCTTTAGTCATGTACAGAAAAATTATTTAATTTCTTACTTTTTGGTGTTTCTGAAGCGTACGGCGATCTGACCTTAAATTGTTCTAGTAAAAGTTATCTATCTCTTTATTGTAACATTTTAATGGAAGATAAGTTTATTTATTTTATAATTTACATCATTAGTAATTCTAATGTGGCCATAAATCCTTATTTACCTGCATAAAATGGCTAAAATCCTGCACTATACCCACAAGTTCATCATTTAATGTAGTTATAACAAACGAAAGAAATATAAAAGAAAATGTGTAAATAAGCAGCAGGGCGGTAAAAACCATCAGCGGCTGAAAAAAGCGGCGCCCCAAAGTCTGGGTTTGAAAAAAGAGAAAGGTGTGACCCAGTTTTTATAGAAAGGTTTGTTACCTGAATAGTTCAGATTATTAATCTATTGAGTAAAATAAGATCTGCTGAGTTAATCCTGGATGTCAGAGGAGAATAACCTCATTAAGGATGCCGCCCAGCTGGGTGCGTCTGAAACGCAGCAGGAACGATCCTTCTTTATTATTTTTTTGTTGTTTCATTTTTAGTTTTAAAGAAAAATCAAACCAGGATTAATCCAGCATTTAATGAGCCTATTGTGTGTCTGTAAACAACACAGAGGCTCCCAGAGCTGAGAGTTTCCCTTCATCAACCAGAGCAGGAAACAGGAAACACCTTCAGAGGTTAGCAGCAGCTAAACGCTGGCAGATGTTTGGCAGGATATTTACATTAAATAACTTTCTTCCTCTTTGCTGGAGAAGATCATCAGGTCAGAATCATCCTAAAAAAAGTTAAAATCAATCCACTGGACTTTGTTTCCAAGTTTGAAGACGTTTCTCTTCCATCCAGGAAGATTTTTCAATTCAAAATGTCAAAAATAGCGTTGAGTTCCAGGTTTATCCAGCAGCCCAACAAAGCCTGGTTAATCTGCATGTTTTCTAAACTAAAACAAGGCTTTGTTAGGCCACTTTTTGGGCTCTTTTTTTGGCACTTTGTTCCTCCTTCATCCTGTAAACAGATGATCCACCAGCAGACCCCCCCCTCCTCCCCTAATGTATTTTCACAATCCTAACCTATTTTCTATTAATTTGTTCATAGATCCAGCTGGGTTTTTGTTTTAAATGAGCTGTTATTATTTTTGATAGGATGTAAATGTAAAGTTTTATTTTGATGTATATTCAACTTTTTAGACATTCTGATCATTTTGCTCTGAAGAATTGTTTTAATAAAAATAAAATTACATAGACAATGTAAATGATTCTCCTCATGGCATCTGAATAGCAGTTGAGCTTGCGTATTATTATTATTTTTTTTACTTTTTTTTTTTCTTGGTGTGGGGGGGTACGGGGGGCAATATCACTGTCTTTCATGAGGCCCCGAATTCCTGGCGCCGGCCCTGCTTGTTTGTTGTTGTTTCTTCTGTAGCGGCCTTTTATTCGTGGATGTTTTTGTTTCATCTGTTCTTCAAAAGAAAGCTTTTCACCAAGGCTCTTATTTTGAAGGCTCGTCCAGCCGCTTCCTGTTTGCTCGGGAATATTCGGATCCGTTCGGCTGTCGGTGTTTCCAGAATCAAAATGACCAAACTGCAGCTGCTCAGCGCCTACCTGACGGAGCGGCTCACCGCCGTGGTGAAGGAGGTGCTGGACGTGGTGGAGGACACGGTGGCCCAGTACCGGGAGGAGACGGCCACCACCAGGCGGGAGAACGAGAGCCTACGGAGGCAGCTGCGGGACATCCTGCTGCTGGAGGCCGAGACCGAGTGGCTGAGTTAGTGCCGTTCCGAACCCCGCCAAAATGTTCCTGTTTATAAAGCTTAAACATGTTTTAGGTTTAAATATGTTCAGAATCTCCAAAATAAAACATTTTCTGCGCAGGTTAGATCAGCCTTTAATGTTCGGCTTCAACCTGAACAACATTTTCTGTCGATATATGATGAAAACAGAGCGGATCCTTCAGGGATTCAGCGCCTCTCGGCTTTTCCCCTGAAGCCCGTTTGGAGAATCAGCTGATGGGGTTTTTCAGTAGAAACGGATAAAATGTGCTTTATAGCTCGCTGGTAAAGAAGCCGAACTATTGGTTAAATGCTACCGGTACTAAAGAAGTCCAGTTTAATAAATATATCAGCTTTTATTTTCATTTAAACACAAAATTCAATGTTTATAGGTGTTGTAGCTGAAGTTCTGAATATGTTTAAACATTTTTGCAGAATGACCTGATTAATGAACTATATGGTTGTAGTTGCAATGTAATTAAACATTAATTCAGTTAATAAGCTAAAATCTTAACCCCTCTGAAAGCGATGAAATCAAATTTTTGCTTAACTTGATGTTTGCAGCCAAAGGCTGATGGATGCCAACATTCAGCTACCAGAAAACCACAGAAACTATTGTTGCATAGAAATTTTCTATTTTAGTTCTCTTTTAAAGATTAGGGAGCAGACTGTTAGAAAGTTAAGTGGAAGGAAAATGTGTGACGGATGGATAATAAGCATGCATGTTCACCTGTTCAGGGAAAACAGAACCGGATTATTGGTCAGTGGTAGAAAGTCCTCTTTTCAGATCGTAGTGAAATTATTTTATTTTAAGATCAAAGTCCCAGATTTTAGAGGAAGACGGGGCCTGAAATTCACTGCAGGATGGCAGGAATAGCTTCTTATCTGAATCCGGCTTTTATAAAAAAAATCATCTAACCCTTTCATAAAGATCATCAAAGGAGGAACGGATTATATCAGGCAGCTGAAATCTCCATTCTCTCCTTCTCTCATATCTTTGGGAAATAAAGAGCAACTGTTGGCAAATTCTCAAAAATCATTATATATATCGTGTAGTATACTAGAAATGTCCTTAATCCAGCAGTGCAGCATGAAGATGAAATAAAGTGGCTTCTAAAAACTGCTTACGTTGTTGCAGAAAATGAAATGGAAGATTTTCCATCCTAAAAAAATCTGCTCTTCATTTAATCCCACATTATGTGAGAAAAAGAAATGAAGAAGGGAAAGGTCAGGAGAGACCTTCTGACTGAGAAGTTTCCCTCGGCTGACGGACACATTGCTCCGTAATTAAAGGTTCAGAACTCCATTCAAAAGATCAGCTCCTATTGACAGGTCATGAGTGAGGGAAACCTGATCATTGCAGACATTGCTCAGGTAAAGCTCCATGATAGGTGTGTTCAGCAAACACTGTAGTATCCTGTTGGAAATGGAAACAAGCAGATCTATAGTAGATTCATTCATAGACATTAGGTGTAAACTAATGATGCTCAGCTACATAAACCCTGGGTTGCCTATTCCTAACTGTGCCATGCCAGAACCATAGAATACAGCATCATCTGCATATATTTGACTGATACAGGTGGAATAAACAGGTGGAAGGACATTGAGGAAAAGCATAATAGTGGTACAAGTTTACATCCCTGTGGTACACCTGTAGATGGCTTTATTGTTGATAATGAATTTGTAGGAAAGTTTGACTCGTCTGACAAATAGGAATCTGCCATTGTAGGTTTAGACAATCTTAGAGCTCGGTGAAAAGAACATTATAACAGAGAGCATTTTTCCACTCTTTAGGTTAACCAACATGGTGCCAACATCAGTTAAGACAAACCGCAGCAGAGCTGGTTCAGATCAGTCTGCAGAAAACCTAAAACTAGGCTGGTCATAATGTTTTGCAGTCAGGTGAGGATCCGCCTGTATTAAAAGACGTGTTTCTGTTTCAGGGTCGGCCCAGCCTGGTTTGGGTTGTGTACCTCCGCAACAATGTCCCGGTGACCCGAAACCCAGAACCCACATAGAGAAACCGGACTCCAGCCTGACCCAGTCCAGTCCTACCACTGTTTCTGTGCAGCTTCTGTTAACACCAGCGCAGATCCACCTTCCAGGAGATAAGAGCCCAGCAGAACTCTGGGTTCAGAAACCAAAATCCAACCTGCTGCAGGAGGCGGGCGGAAACACATCGCCTCATCTGTCCATCAGCTCTTCTGGGGTCACAACTAATGTCGCGGCACTGAGGGAGGAACCACAGGCCCCGCCCCCAGTACTGGTCAAAGCTGAACCTGAAGACGAGGCCAAAGCTGAGAGTCCAGCTGAGTCGCTGAAGGCAAACATTGATGTTGCAGCGGAGGAGTCAGGTTTCAACATCACAGCTGAAGATGAACAGACGACGGAGGCATTAGATCAGCAGGACACTTCCAGAACCAAGACCGCCTCCCAGGAGACACAGCCGCCAGATGATGCCTTAGTTAACGTGTTTATCCCAGAGCTTGTACACCGCTGCCCGCGCTGCGGCGAGGCCTTCACCCACCTGGCTGGGCTTCACCTCCACCTGGAGCAGAAGAGGAAGACTTACGCCTGCAACTGGTGCTGCAAGTCCTTCGCTCAGTCAGCTGACCTCCGGCGTCACTTACGAACGCACACGGGCGAGCGGCCGCACCGCTGCACATTCTGTTCCAAAAGCTTCAGTCAGAGAGGAAACCTGCGGCGGCACCTCCGCATCCACACCGGCGAGCGTCCATATAGCTGCCCGTTCTGCTACCGCACCTTCAGCGATGGCGACACCATGAAGAAGCACAAGCGCACCCACTCAGGAGAGAAACCATACCGCTGTGCACGTTGCTCCAAGAACTTTACCAGCTCCAGCGGTCTGCAGCTGCACCTCAAGAAGGACATGTGCTTCGTATCAAACGCCTGATTGGACGGACTGCTTAGACCAGGGATGGGCCCCTTCAGTCCTTGAGGGCCAGTTTCCAGCAACATTTAGATTCTTCCTTGGTCCAACACACCTGAATCAAATGGTTGAATTACCTCCCCAGTATGCAGTCAATTTCTCCAGAGTCCTTTTAAGTATCGATTTACTTGATTCAGGTGTGTTAGTTCTAGGACATATCTAAAAGTTGCAGGAATCAGGCCCTCCAGGTCTGGAGTTGCCCACCCCTGCCTTAGACCTTACATCATAGAGTAATACATTAGGATAGCTTCCCCCACATGCTCAGTAGAGCAGAGATGTGTCGTAAATGCACCATTTTAGAAAATTCTGACCTAATTTAGCCCCTCAAAGAAGAACTCCGTCACATTAGCATGGGATCCGGCCACTAGCCTTATTCTAAATAACTTGACCCTAAAAATAGTTTACCTGCATGCTGATCGGATATTCGTTCAGCTTAAACCACTCTTCCCAGTTGGATTACAATTTTATTCTAATTCTGATGAATCTAATCAGAATATTCAGACTGGCATCTTTACATGACAGATTGTTTATCCTAGAGAGGGTCAACTCAAGTTCACACAAACACCTTCATCCGTACGTTTTTGACTCGGACAGAAACCATTGAGACTGTTCCCTCCGCTTCGGTTAGATAACGATTCACATGCAACATGTCGCTCACAGCATCACACAAACCCAGGACTTAGAGTCCATGGTAACAGAAGGTATCAAAACATAGTTGTAGGTCTGAACCTTCATCAGGGCAGGCAGATCTATGTGACCTCTATCTAAGACCAACTGGAGATCTCTCTGCTTATTTAGGGTCACAGACAATGTCAAGATTCCCATAAGTCTTGAATCTGCTTAAATAACTCCTTGCAGTGATTCATCGCCAAAATAAAAAACTTAAGAAGACTTCCTGAAAGACACTATCCACCCAACAGAAGAAGTTCATTCTAGTTTTTTATAGTCCTTGTCTCATTCCTCCAGACATCATTCAGAGATCCTGACCTCAGTTGGAGTTTAAGACATAGATCCACCTGTAGGTGCTTTCCCATTTCATCTGCTGAAATCCGCTGTATAGGGCAGTAACAAAATTTCCAATTTCAATTAGATGGCGATGCAGACTAAGTACCTCAAATTAAGCCTTGCCTGGGAATGATCAAAGCTAGTGCAGATTCGAGCCCTGGTGGAGACTCCAAAAGCCTTGCCATGGTGGATATTCTGGCCATGGTGGAGCTATCAGCCATGGGGGAGACTCTGAGGCTCTTGCCATCTACAAAAGACTCAAGGCATGGTGGAAACTGCAACCATGATGGAGACACTGGCCTTGCCAAGGACTGGTCATGGTGGAGACTCTGAGACTCTTGCCATCTAGAAGAGACTCCAGGCATGGTGGAGACTCTGGCCCTGATGGAGGCTCCAGCCATGGTGGAGACTCTGAGATTTGCCATCAAGAAGAGACTCTTGCCATGTTGGAGTCTCTGGCCAGGTTGGAGACTCTCTCTCCATGGTAGAGACTCTCTCTCCATGGTGGAGACTCTGGCCCTAATGGAGGCTCCAGCCATGGTGGAGACTCTGAGATTTGCCATCAAGAAGAGACTCTTGCCATGTTGGAGACTCTCTCTCCATGGTAGAGACTCTCTTGCCATGGTAGAGACTCTGGCCCTGATGGAGGCTCCGGCCATGGTGGAGACTCTGAGAGTTGCCATCAAGAAGAGACTCTGGCCAGGTTGGAGACTCTGGCTAGGTTGGAGACTCTCTCCATGGTGGAGACTCTCTCTCCATGGTGGAGACTCTCCATGGTGGAGACTCTGGCCCTGATCGATACTCTGGCCCTGATTGAGGCTCCGGCCATGGTGGAGACTTTGGCTATGGTGGAGACTCTGGACCTAGCCAGGCTTTGAGACAGTTTGAAACTTATCTTTTGCAAATGTGAACCCCTGAAGCATCACTTGAGTACTCTCTGCTACACAAGGGTTTAAGTTTTATCAGATTTCAATCGAATCAATTTGGTTTAGTTTTGAAATGTGTCCTTGTTTCAGAAGATGGTTGCAGGACATGGGTTTAACTTGTCCTCTTTGGGAGCAGCAGAGATGTTTGTGAACCCTGATCAGCTCCTTTCACTGATGCTCTCCAGAAAAGAAAAAAAAATGTCTTGTTCTGCCACTTAGAGTTCTCCTGAGTTGTTTTTTGTCTCTCCTGATTAACTTTTTCTTCTTTCCTTCTTCATTTATTCATTATTAATGCAGCTCAGACAGCAGGTGATGGAGTCGTCTGGAACCTGCACGCATAAAGGCTGTTTATCATCCATTTGCAGCTTTTAAGATCAGCAGCTTCCTAAAAAGCTGACAGGTGACTGGAAATGTTCTAGAAAACTGTAAAATTCCTAATAAATCTGTTAGCTTCAAAAACGGAAGCAAATGTTTTACTTGGTGCTGAATTGTTCTGGAGATATTTATTGTGCATCTTTGGAGCTTCTCCAGCAGCCATACTTTATGGCAATGGATGGGACGAGTCTGTAGCTTCTTCTACAGTCTTCATGCTGTACTGGTCTACTGCTATGACTGGAATGAAGCTGACTCAGGTTGGAATCCCAATTACATGTTGTATGAAAACTTTGCGTCGTAATGACTCATCAAAGCAGCTGAAAAGACGCAGACCGTGATTAGCTTTTTCCTGTACTTATTTTCAGAGGACCTTTTACATAGAATAGAATTCAACTTTATTCCACTGTCACAAGTACAGAGCACCAAAGTTCAATCTCTGCATTTAACTCAACCTTTTAGGGAACAGTGGGCTGCTATTGTGCTGCAGGGGAACAGTGTGGGGTTAAGGGTCTTGCTAGGTCTTTAGGTCTTGTTAGTGGCAGTCTGTGGGAGTGGGACTTAAACTCAGAACCTCTGGGATCCAAGCATAATGGCCTAACCACTGGACCATCACTCCCCCTAAAACTGGGTAAGAGCATACACCTGGTTTCACTGCTTCACAACTTATGTTTAAAGTTCTAAGGAAATCATATTTAAATGTAAAATCATTCTGGCTTAAACATTTATATAAATGTTCTCTTTATGAGATTAGATATTGTCCCAAATTTTAGAAAATTTCTGCTTTTAAAAAGAATCTTGTCTTAAAATCTGTGTTTTTTT